TGGGCAGTGCTGTTCATTTGAAATGTGCTGAGCCTTCAAAGACTCAGAGGAAGGAATGGATATGCCCTTTTAAGGAGAGGACCACTGTGGTGAGAGGGCAGTGAGAGGGAAGCAAGCACAGTCAGCTGCAGTAGCTGATGTGCTCTGTGGCCAGTCTTCCCCAGCCTGAAAGGTATTTCTGCACTCAAAGTCAGATCACAGCACTGCCCATCTTCAATGCTGTCTCCCTGTTACTGATGGGATAATGTCCAAGCTCTGTGTGATGAGACTCAGAGCCCTTCCTGTGCCGGATGCTATGCCTTTCTAGCCCTGTGCCCTGAAAGTCACACGTGATCTATACACACAAGCAGGGCCTCCTTTACACAAGCCTCCTTTCCATTGGAAAGGCTCCTTCTGTGTGTGATGACCATCATTTCACCCTCTAAGACTCATCTAAAGTTTTACAGGAGGAGACAAGACATTGCTTTGTTATTTCATGGGCAACTCTTGTAATCTTGGGCTGCTTTTTACATCTCTTACCATCCTGTGAACTCTTGAGAATCTTAGAGTCTGGATCTTATATTGTGGTCATCATGGTACCTGATACAGAGCTGGCTTCAAAACATGTTTACTGAGAGAAAGAATGAGGGAAGAAGGAAAGAAGGAAAGGAGGGAGGGAGGGAGGGGAGAAAGGAAGTTTTGTCCAAATGCATTAATGGAATGCATGACATTCAGATTCCATATAAGGTTCAATTTCTTTATTAAATCAAATTAAATTAAAAAAACATTTATTGAATGACTTTTACATATGATACATTAGCCCAATCAGTTGTGCCAGTAAACAATTCTTAATTAGCAGAGAAATTCTTAGCAAAAAAATAGAACATGACATAATGGAAGAGACACTGGCAGCTTTAAGAACTTGAGGTATAGAGCCCCAAATTGCACTTCTTGAGTGCACACTACAGCCAGCATCTAGTGGACACTGGAGAAATGTCCACCCTACAAACAAGGATAACAAGGTTTCTTTTTAAGACTTAAATCAGTAAAAATTGGATCACCCATCTGTGGGAGGTAATTGTAGACTGAAATACCCCAAACTGTCATCTAGGTGACCAACCTGCAATCTCAGCAAAAGGGAAGAAGGCATAAACAATATATCATGCCCAGAGGAGACAACTGACATGGAAGAGATGATGATGAACAGATCCGATAAATACTTTCATCTTGACAAGGAAAAGTTCTCTAAGTGAACACACTGGCTGTACAGCTTATACCTTAAGCCCCTTATGAGTTTGAAGAGTGAGAGTTAGTGCATTTGTGCAGTGGAAAGATGAATACATGACTAGGAGGCTGAAGAACAACGTCTGAACTACGGTCATTTTACCACAGTTGTCGTGCTGTGCGACCTTGCGTGGCTGCCAGCGGGCCTGCCCCAATCAGATCTCACTGCAGCCACACACCCCGCATGAAAACAAATGTTTTAGGCCAATGTCAGTACAGAAAGTCCTTTCATCGGGATGACAACACAAGGCCAAGTGCATTCCATTCACTACCAGACATGGACTCAGAATGAAATGTAACTGACATAGCCCAGCTCCTAAGTGACCTTCAGAGGCCAGTGTCAGTCAAATGACTCTAAAGAAAAATTAAGCTCAGGTTATAGTGCTGTATTCATCTGGAGTGCATTACTAAATGAAGACATGAAATGGAGCTTAGGAGCCAACTCTGTGGTGAATTTCAGAGGTGCCTGGAGCAGGAGGAAAGTAAAATGGCGCCTGCACGCCCCAGGAGCCTGCAGTGCTACAAATGATGTTTCTAATGCTCAAATGTTAGTTCACTGATGCTTCTCATAAGCAAGTTCTTGTCCAGAGTAGAATATTGGAAAGGTCTCTTACATGACTCACAATGGGCATTCGGTAACACAAGGCTTATGGTCCTGAGTTGGTGACTGGGCTGCCACATGCTGGAGTGAATCTTATCCACATGGCAACCTGCTGTCCTACAGTAGGACATGCTGAGAAAGAACTGAATGCAGCCTAAGGCGCTGTCACCAGTGGGAAAGTTCATGTCCATAGTGCTATGCACCCTGGTGGTGAGACCACACTTGCTTGGCTTCCCCAGGCTTCTGAAGAGTGATGTTGTTTAGGACAAGACTCTGCCACTGATCCTGGAAAGACTGTTTTCTACCTTCAATGACCACATCAAAAATGTTAGGATCCTGGACATAAGACTATACACTTCCCTACTGATAGTTTTCTGTTTTGTTTTATTTCTGCATTTTTCCTTTGTCCTAGCATCATTATTTCTCGGTTTGAATTTACCCAAAACTCAATTCTTCTAGAAGACCAAATGCCTAAAGTTACTAAAGAATTCCTTTCTAATTCTGATGGCGGACTTTTTCTAGTCATCCTTTGCCTCTAATTCAAATCAATTACTCCAACATCTTTGGATGTTTAATATTTGTATTTATTTAGTTCTACTCTTAAGCTTAAATACTAAAAGTAGACAGCTTATTTGTGTGTGTGTGTGTGTGTGTGTGTGTGTGTGTGTGTGTATATATATATATATATATATATATATATATATATTTCAAATATATTTTATTGATTTTTTACAGAGAGGAAGGAAGAGGGATAGAGAGAAATATCGATAAGAGAGAAACATCTATCAGCTGCCTCCTGCACACCCCCTACCGGGGATGTGCCCACAACCAAGGTACATGCCCTTAACCAAAATCGAACCTGGGACCTTTCAATCTACAGGCTGAAGCTCTATCCACTGAGACAAACTGGTTTAGGCATTAATATATTTTTAATGATTTTAGATAGGAAGGAAGAGGGAGAGATAGAAACATCAGTGATGAGAGAATCATTGATTAGCTGCTTTCTGCATGCCCACTACTGGGGATTGAGTCTGCAACCCAGGCATGTGCCCCAACTGGGAATTGAACCCTGACCTCCTGGTTCATAGGTTGATGCTCAACTACTGAACCACACCAGCTAGACCTAGACAGCTTGTTTGAATACTCTGAAAACTTTTTAGTTTTATGTGGAATTTTTAATGTTTGCAATAAAGCAAAATGTTAAGACCTTAACAGAGCTCCTTTGAAATGCAGAGTAGTACGTGAAAGAATAAGGATTTTTTAGTTCAGGACCTATGGGAGTGTTCTTCTGGCTACCAAAGCAAAATAACTTCGAGGCAACTTGGACTGAAACCTGGGTAGTGTGGTTTGAGAGTGTCTCCACTGTTACACTCATGCTAAATTCTATTGAAAATGTCTACAAGAGACTGTAATATTACTCAGGAAATATTTTCAGTGACATGTTAAAATAATGATTTATAGCCCTGGTTGGTATAAAGTGGTTAGTGCCAGCCTGCACACCAAAGGGTCTCAGGTTTGATTCCCTGTTAAGGGGATGTACCTGGGTTGCAGGTTCGATGACTGGCCCTGATTGGGCACCTGCAGGAAGCAACCAAGTCTCTCCCTTTCACTGATATATTTCTCTCTCTCTCTCTCTCTCTCTCTCTCTCTCTCTCTCTCTCTCTCCTTTTTTTTCTCTCTCCTTTCTTCCTTTCTACTCTCTACAAAGCAATGGAAAAATATCCTTGAGTGAGGATTAACAGAACAAAATTTATATTTAATAGATTACTAAGAAAAGGGAGTATTATTTTAATGCAAGAGGAATATTTCAAAAGGCAAAATCACTTTGGGTCAACTTTTTTACTAAGAAAAATATTTACTAAGAAAAAATTAAAAATTTCCTCTTTAAATGTCTCAATTCAAACTGAGTCAAAGATAACCAAATTGAAATAGTGTCATTAAAAAAAAAGTGATTAACAAACAATAAAAGAACAAGTAGATAAATCAATGAGTTTCAAGGTCTTTGAGAATATTATCTTAAGCAAAATAAGTCAGAAAAACCTAAGAACCATAAGATTGCATTCATATATGGGATATAAAACTGAGACAGACAACAATATGGTGGTTAGTATAGGGAAGGGGGAGGGCCATGGTAAAGGATAAAGGGAACCAAATATATGGTGACAGAAGATTATTTGGCTTTGGGTGGTGGAAACATAATGAAATATACAGACTGTATATCATAGAAATGTACACTTGAAAACTATATGGCCCTCTTACTTAATGTCACCCCAATACCTTTTATTAAAAAAAGAAAGACAAAAAAAAGTAGAAAAAGTGTTTCTCCAGAATAGTGTCCCAAGTAATGAAGAAATGATGGAATTTATATATTATTATTTTTAAAACTTCTAATAAAATAATGTATCTAGGTAAAGATCATTAGTGCTCACTAACATCATAAAGAGATGATTAGATGTGATGTACCTCTTGATAGAATATTCAATAGTATCTATAAAGTATTTCCCCCCATTCAGGTTAAGTCCCTAGCAAACTAACAGTTTACAAGAACCACAGGGGACAGAAGAACATAATAAAAACATGGCAATACAATCAGCAAATTTTGTGGGAAACTCCACAGGACAAAAGGACATGGTTTCGTCAAAATATTAATTACAAAGGGCAAAAAAAAAAGATGGATGGTAGAAACTTTTAGATCAAAAGAAACCTGAGAAACACATCAAAGGCAATGCATAAAATTTGTTTGGATTTTCAATCAAACTAACTATAAACAAAAGGACGAGTTAGTGAGTATACAGACAATCAGGGAAATTAGAACTACTACATATTTGCTGATCTTGAGAAATCACTGTAAATGTTTTTAAGTCCATGATAATGGCACTGGAGTTATGCTTGAAAAATGTCCTTATCTTTTAGCCATGTACTAACATTTTTAATAAATGAATTATGTCTGAGTTTTGCTTCATAAAAATTTAGTTGGTGGAGAAAGAGTGTTTCAGATGAAATAAGAGTAAGCTGATTGTTTTGAAGCTGGACAATGGGCACATGGCATCCTAATTTTATATATGTTTGAAATCTTTCACAATAAAATGCTGAAAAATATTTTTAAAAATTTGGGAAAATGATAGAGAAGACTTACCCTGCTGGATATCCTTCATTTCTAAATGCAAACTAGATATCAAGATTCCCACAGTTTGAGATCGTTTTCCATCCAATAACTTGATGATCTGGAATTTAAACATAAAATTAACACAAGCTCAAATGACCATGCAATTTTTAGGAAGTATGTAAAAAAAAAAATAAGATTTTTATATACTCTGATTGTTGAACTAAATGGACACTATAGCCGAAACCGGTTTGGCTCAGTGGATAGAACATCAGCCTATGGACTGAAAGGTCCCAGTTCGATTCCGATCAAGGGCATGTACCTTGGTTGCGGGCACATCCCCAGTGGGGGGGGGGGGGGGGAGTGCAGGAGGAGGCAGCTGATTGATGTTTCTAGCTCTCTATCTTCCTTCCTTCCTCTCTATAAAAATCAATAAAATATATATATTTTTAAAATAAATGGACACCATAATTACTTTATTTTAATAACCTTTAATTTAAAAGTAACTTATCCACAACTAAAGATATTTTAGAAAATAAAAAACAACACCATCCCAATCTAATACAAGCACACAAATCTTTATAATATTGGTATATCTAAATATATTCAAATCATGCCACAACATGGATGAACATGAAAATATCATGCTAAAGGAAAGAAACCAGTCATAAAGGCGATATTATATGATTTCCACTTATATGGGTGACAGTCAGTTTGCATATTACTCTTTTATTAGACAGGATATATGCATATTAAAACTTTTAATTTTTTGAAGAAACTCCAAATAGCTCACTGCCAATTATTTCAACTTTTATGACTATTCCATAAAGAGAGCCTCATAGTTTTGTTTCCTCTAATCCCAGCGAGCCAAATAAGTTCCTAATAACATATCACACAGTAGTCACCAAGGAGAAAAGGTTATCTTTTTTCCCACGGGACATGGCTACAAAAATCAATATGACATGCACTCAAAACATCACCAATTCTTGTGTTTTGTTTTTTTTAAAGCACTTTCTTGGGCAAAATACAAACTAAATAGCTATGTTTCCTCTCTCACCAAGGTACATATAAACTTACCAAAATATAGTGAAGACAAGATTAAACAGAAACTAGCACCTGCTTGTATATTAGTACTAGACTAGCTGAATTGTTTGCTGGTTGAACAGTAAGAGATACCATAAATATGTTCCAACCAAGATTGTCTAATTACCTATCGACTGATTGATCCTAAATCAATTATTGCCAGCCCTTTGTCTTTTCTTTCTTTCTTTTTAAAAAAAATCTTTATTTTTGAAAGTATTAGTCCTGTGTTTTTTTATTTCTCTGCTCAGGATGGCTACTTTTTAAAAAATATATATATATTTTATTGATTTTTTACAGAGAGGAAGAGAGAGGGATAGAGAGTTAGAAACATCGATGAGAGAGAATCATCGATCAGCTGCCTCTTGCACACCTCCTACTGGGGATGTGCCTACAACCAAGGTACATGCCCTTGACCAGAATTGAACCTGAGACCCTTCAGTCCGCAGGCCGATGCTCTATCCATGAGCCAAACCGGTTTCGGCAGGATGGCTACTTTTATATAACTATCAGAACTAAAAAAATAGTAAATACCAAGTTTTCATCAAAATAAAAAGAAAATCTGATTTTTCAATTTAATGTGTTTAATAATTTCAACCTTAACCTTAGAGAAAAATTCTGGGGCATACAGAATTTCAAGAAGTGTAAAATAAATAAAGAATAAACTTGGTATTATTTATTTATTTGTATATAAAAGCAAAAGCAGAGGAGGAAAAGATTATGTATAATCAAATATCTCCTTTAAAGGTGCAAAATCTGGCTTTTTCTTTGAGAACACAAATTTAAAGTGAAATGCTATTTAAAAGTCCAGTACCAAATTTAAAAAACCCACATATGTTTTAAATAAATATTTAACCACTCTAGACTCTGAGTGTGGGAGATGACTGTCTGTTCAAATATGCAGAGCTCAGTGATTTTTAAAAAAATTCTGAAAGAAAAAAAAAAGGCAAATAAAACCATCACTTGAGCTAATTGCAAATTCAAATTCAAAATAAGAAAGGCTTTAGGAATTGACTACATTTATCCTTAAATGTCCAGGATAGTGACTGATACAACCTTGGCCATGGAATGTACATCAATGTCAAGGAGGAAGATATGAGAATCGAATGTATGACAAGATCACAACTGGGTAGCAAAGATTCCTTCAAATAAACATTCCCCTAGCTATCCAGTTAGAGTTCTGAAAACCAGGGTAATGCAGTCAACCAACAGAGAAGACAAAGTTCAAATGTTAGTTTTTCTATTAGCTAATTAAAAGAAAGCAAGAGAGCAACCTCAAGAGAACTGAGAGAAAGAGAGACTGAGAGATTGAGATCATCTGTCATTAAGAAACCAGCAAATCCATCCCCACCTCATTGCTCAACAGGCTGAACTTTGGAAAGAGTGTCTCCAGTCAGTCATCCTTGCAATTTTGTCTGACTTGGCATGGCAGACATTTAGAGAAAGAATGCTACTTTTAGCTGATCCAAAAACCTTAAGAATTTTCTGAAATAGTTGGCATCAATTTACACTCCTACAAATATTTCCTGTTCCCTCACCCACTGTGGGTATTATAAAAAATTTTAAATTTTGGCCAATATGATAGATAAAAATGTTTTTATCAATAATCTGCATTTTTAATTATTTAATGGTAAGGTTAGGCATTTAGTTCTTGGTCACATGTTCTTGTAAATTGTTTTTGTATAATTTTTGCTGTTTTCCTATTACTAAGTCTCTTAATCTGGTACAGTACAAAAAAAAATAAGCAAGAACATAGCTCATATGATTTCACTCATACGTAGGATATAAAACTGAAAACAACAAATGAATAAACAAGAAGAATAAACAAGACACAGAAAATATTATAGTGGTTACCAGAGGGGAGGTGGTGAAGGTAATAGGTAAAGGGTATACAATTTTGGGTGGTCACAATGCAATATACAGATCGTGTATCATAGAAAAATACACCTGAAGCCTATAATATTATTAACAATGTCATCCTAAAAAATTAGAAAAGAAGAAGAACATAGCTGAATTCATAAGAAGAAAGAGCTATACACAGAGATTACTGTGGATAAGGGGCATCAGGAAGGAGAGGGAAGAGAACTACCTTGTACTGAACCCCTACTAAATGCTAGGTATTATGCTCACAACTAATCCAAATGAATAGTTGTGAATTGGGGGCAGTGAACACCACAATATTGTAGACTGTATTCCTTTAGTGTATCCCCCTCCCCTGCCCTGTGGATTTCTAAAGTAATAACAATACTTCAGCTCAAGAGTCCTGTGAAGTGAGGAGTCAGTCACCTTAAAGTAAGGCTCATAGAAATAGAACTCTGTTCTGCTAACCCAATACTGCTTTTTGATATGTGATCAAATCTCACGGTCCTTAGCCAGCTATATACCTACTATTGGTCTGGTGCACATATTTGTGCACATTGAGAGGAAATTAATTAGAAGAAATATTTTAATATTGCTATTCACCTTTTTTCTATAATAGAAATGTCAACCCAATTCATGATCAACAATGACAGATGGAAACACATGCGTGCGATTGGTACCAGTGAGAGCTTTATATATATATTGAGCATTTGTGAGTCAACTTAGCCTTTTATAGATACAGAACACACTTGCTTAATTAATCTGCCTTCTGACTTAGCTAAACTTTTTCCACTCCAGTGAAGCACCCCAACTTCTCTTTCAGGTAATTGTCAGCAACATAGAATTAAATATCAACATGAAGCAGATTATTATTGTAGATAATGCAGGGCAAACAAAGGGTAAAATATCTAACTTCAGCTGTGAGATATTCTGTGCAGTGAGAAAACCTGAAGTAATTTTCAAGGTTTACTATTTCTTACTTCTTTTCAGGTGGGTCAAGTTTCAAAACTTTCTAAATCTTCATTTCTGGCTAAAGAAAAGAAAATAGGATTCCACTGAGACTCTATCTACCTATTCCAGGACTTCTGTGAGGATCAAATTAGATGAGGCATGGGAAAACACTTTACAGGCATTTGGTTAAAGTGTAAAATGTTTCCACCTGGCTATAAAGCAAGTTGTGTTCCTGGGTTGAAGAAACTGCAAGGAGACTAGTCATTGCTAGGGAGAGGAAGCTGGGTGTAGCTACATGAATTACCCGGATGGAGGGAAGTCCTACCTCAAATCTTTTATATATATATATATTATCTGAGGTGTTTACTTTCACACCAGAATAGTTAGAAAGAAAATATTAAAAGTGAAAGAAACAAATACAAAGAAAACTGATAGCGGGAATAAAAAAAGGGGGGGGGAAGGAAAGAACAGATTTAGAACATGACAAAAGTTTTTTAAAAAGATGTTTAATTAGTTGTCAATCAAGAATTATTTCATCATTTAAAAATAATTTTTAGGACCATGGTGAAGTTTCAAATAGCCATGTGCAATTTATGTAGAATCTTTTGTTAAATGAAAATTCCCTCTTTTTTATTGTACTATATGAATTCTCAGTAAGCCATCTTCAAGACAAATAAAGTGAACTTCAAAAATTTCTCTCTGAAGAGAAAGAGCATATGACAAAAAGATAAACTAATATTGTGTATTTATTCTCCCCAGATTCTCTAATATATTCTGGGCTTGAAAAAAAATCAAATGCAGCCACCTACACCTTCCATATTCACATTACTGCACAGTATGGACTGGTGATTATAATGATCACCTGAAAAATTTTTAGAAATCTAAGCTGCCTGAGATTGTCTGATATTTAACAGTCTGCCCTTTCTATAGCAAGAAATTTAACTAATACATTAAAAAATAACCACAGCATTTTATTTAAAAACTAGAGGCCCTAGTGCACACAATTTGTGCCTGGGGGGGTGTGTCCCTCAGCCCAGCCTGCATCCTCGCCAATCTGGGACATCCCTCTCACAATCCAAAACTGCTGGTTCCCAACTGCTCGCCTGACTGCTTTACTGATTGCCCCTAACTGTTTGCCAGCCTGATCACACCCTAACCACTCCCCTGCCAGCCTGATTGATGCCTAACTGGTCCCCTGCCAGCCTGTTTGCCCTAACTGCCCTCCCCTAC